ATACTTTAATAATATCCGACGTGTATACGAGGGTTGTTTGATAAATAAGGTAAAATTCCTAGATATATAGTTGATAACAATAATTTTTATTTTTCAATATAGTCTCCATTAAGATCTATGCACTTCATCCAACAACTTTGTAATTTTTTTAACCCATCGGAAAAAAAAAGATTTTTCGATTGCTGCAAAATATTCATTCACCATGGCTATGGTGTCTTTGTTTGATTGAAATCTCTCTTTATCAAGCTAATTTTTTAGATTTGGATGTAGGTAGAAGTCACAAGGTGCTAAATCTGGTGAGTAGGGTGAAGTCAGAACTAATTCAAATAATAATTCAGCGAGTGCTGAAATCTCCCTTCGGGTACGCATTTGCTGCCCAGTCAACAATCGCGGCACCCATCTTGCACAATTTTTTTTTCATATGCAATTTTTCATGAAAGACAAAGTATACCCGTTTAGTAGAGATGCCTACAATTTCAGCAACTTTCCTAGACAATTTTTTTGACGATTTTTTCCACAATTTGTGAAGTCGTGACGTCGATAGGGCGCCCACAACAGAGTCTCCTGTAGTTCCTCTAGTTTTTTTTATTTGAGCGGCTGTCCATTTTTTTAAATAAAAATGTTTTATCACAGCGCGAAATTCGTTTTTTTCCATTCTCAAAATTTGTTCAAACAACTTATTTTTAAAATTCTCTAACTTTTCAACTTTTTGTTGAAACTTTGAAAGACTTACTCTGAAAGATGACATATCTCACATGCGGTTCGCCAAATTAATTGACGCGCGTGGTCATAGTTTTTTACCATATCAAACAATCCTCGTATTTACATTTTTTTTTAAACAAAAAAAGTCATTCTAATCAGGGAAAACTGATGAAAATTTGTTTAAATTGAAATTGGAACTGCATTTTAATTTTTATGAAAGTTGCTGGCAGTTTGTTCCAAAATTCAAATTAAAAAAACTATTGGGTTTCAATTATCAGAGGTTTGCACATCGATGTTTTTGCAAACAGTATTTAACAAAAAGCAAAATTCGACGTTGCTTTACTTGAAATCTGTCTGAATATTTGCAGTGCTATCTCCGAATGTGTCTTTATTTATCTTGTTCGTGGGTTTAGAGTTTTCCGATATGCACCGAGGACCTCAACTCTATGAATGTAAAGTGGAAGGTCGTCTGGGACGATGAGGATTGCATGTCAGGGAGTCAGCACTCCTCATTGGCCAATACTTTATTAGATTTTGCAAAATAATATAACTTCCAATGCCTTATCTAATTTACTGAAAGTAGGTTTCTTAATTGTTGAGTTCGAAGTGTGTTTAAATTCCGTATTTTTGGCTAAAACTTGTCTAAAGTTTGAAAGGAACCGGCGTGAATAATATTCTCCGAAGCCAATTGAGAGGAGTGGATCTAATAATCAGTTCAACGTGAAATCTGCCCGGAATAAGTCACTGAAGTTTTTCAATTGATTAGAGTAGAAATTGGCTCGGCAGCAGGTTACTTTAATAACCGTCTCTGTAATTATAGTAACCCTAAAGTTTAAGGTTGCTCCAGTTGTCGTTTAATTACCTCTCTGCTGCCTAATTAAAATATTCGATTTGATGCAAAAATTAATTTCAAGTTAGCCACGCACGACACTTTATAAAGGGGCGAGTTTATAAATATGGAAATAGCTATGAATATTTCCTCGCTCTCATTTGCACATTTTGTAAATATGTTAAGCTCGTGGTAAAAATCGCCGACTTTGTAAGTGAATTCTCTAAACAAATTAGTCACTTGGTTTGTAGTAACCGTGTCTCCGAAGCGGATATTTGTCCATTAACTCGCGCCTCTCCACCAGACGCCATAACCCATTTCAGGAAATTACATGCTATTGTTTAACCTTCGCAGTCACATATATTAGACTAGATTACGCTGTAATAATGTTAAGTTAACGCAATTAGGCTGCTCTACTCTGTATCAAAAACACTGCAAAAAACACTTTACTATGCAAATGACATCGTCATAAACACACATTACTAATACTTTTCCAAAACTTTGCCACTGAAGTGCCTATTACGAGAAAAATTATTACAGAGCTTTAATGTGGACTTTCGGGCTGCTTGTGTGACTTACGACGTCGACGAAATTACACACAAAAATGCTGAGGACATCTTTTACGCGACGAAGGAGAAATATTGGAACTGAAATTACTTAGGTGCACCTAATATTTTGTGGAGGTTTTTACAAACTTGGACCAGAGGTTTAGTTAAAACTGACTTTGTTATACTTTTTTAGATTGTATTTTGTTGAATATATTCCATTCAAGCCACAAATGTGTAGATGTTAATCTGTTTGAAAAACCACTAAAAGTTGTCGCATTGTTTTATTTATGAAAACATAAAAATGCTATTTACTATTTTGCTGGGGCAAAAGGTTGTGTGTGCCAATTTGCTATAGAGAAAAAATTAAAATTTTGCAGAAAAACTTTTCAAGGTTTGTAAAATTTAGTTTTGTGGTCACCAAAAAAACATTTTTTTTTGTGCCGTTCACTTATTTTGATTTCACTATCGTCACCAACTTTTAAATTTTACTTGTTTGGAAAATTGGTGTTTTGTTAGCGTTTTTTTTTTTCATAAGGGATGAAATGGCTGTTTTACCACCCAGACGAGTGTTTGAAAAGCCTAGTTGTGGATACAAAACTTCTCGTCAAGCTGAAATGTGAAACTATGATTCCAGAAGCCGGAGACGATTTAATTATTCTCTTTGAGCAGAGCCTTGACGATTTCGTCGGTTTTAGTTGAACAAGACAAAGCATTCCTCCGAGCATAATTCTTTCCAACTTCGTCCGTCTCTTTGTCCATTCAGTTACACAAATTTCTTCTTATCTTGGCAATTTAATTTACGTCTTCGGACCGAAACCACTCTGGATAACTCGTCCAGACACCAAGTGCTAATTTCCAAAAAAATAAAGCGATTAATTAGATCGAACGAAACACATATCTTGCTCTCCACAATTGCATTCATTAGAGACAGACGGCTGCTGGCTGGAATCTTTATTAGTTTCGGGCATGCTGTCTTCTAAATTATACAAATTGGTGACCGCGGGGTCAGAAGACAAGGGCCGATAGAGTGGGCGCCGGAAGTACATGTTTAAGACATGATACGGACTACGCGAGAGATGATCAAATGCAACTACATTGCTGTTATAATTAATAAATTAGAATATGCCTTGTTAGATGACACCGAGTAGAGGAAACTGACGGTTTCATTAGAAAATTGCTCGCTTCTGAATCAATTACACTCAGAGAAAAACATTTGTGTAAGACTTGTTTCTAAACCGAGCAAAATACTCCCAGGCATTACCAAGAAACAAATAAAGGCTAAAAATCGCAATATATTTTGACATCATACCTTCTTTTTTTGGTAAAAGACTAGTTTTTTTAACAATCTTGATCACAATTTTTAAATTTTAAGATTTCTATAATTTTCCTACAATTAGAGGACCAACAAATAATCATTAATCGTTTTTATTGACAAATATTATCTCATATATGAATAAAAAGAACTCGAAAATTAAAAGAAATTTCGAAAAATGTTATTCTTGATAAATGGTCACATTTTAATTGTACTTTACTCTCCACTAAGTATTTTTTTCGTAAAGTGCTTAGTTTACGAAAAAGACCCTGTATACCAGGTGAATAAAAAGTATGGAACTAAGCGTTTTTTTTAATCATTTGTCTTCAGTAAATAATAATTAATATAAGTTAACGTTATATAAAAAATGAGATCGTATTTTAAGAACGAAATTTTGTCTTGTTTTTGAATTATGCGATTTTTTTGTCAAAATTGCAATTTATGTAAAAAAAAATTTTGAAAAAAATTAAATATGAAGTAGATAGTTGTAATCCTTAAATCATAACCTTTATGAGAAAAATAGTTTTATAGTGGGTTGCTATTTAAAAAAATTAAATTTTTTGTAGAACTCAAAAACAAAAACAAAATTAAAAATTTTATTCTTGATAAAACATCACATCTTTAAAGTACTTTATCGTTCATCAATTAGTTTTTCCAAAAAATTAATAGTTTAAGCAAAAAACGTTTGGTTCCATACTTTTTATTCACCTGGTATAAAAAAATCTGAGAAAAAAATTCTAAACACAATTTTTGCGTTTGTACCGTTTTATTAAAAATTAAGTTTTTGTAAAAGCTGCATCTACTATTTTATTGTGATGTTGCGACCGTTGAATATTTTCTATGAAATTATGATTACAAAGAAAAGTAATAATTCACTGAAAACAATGTTGAGAGAAATATTTTCTATTAACTGCGTTCAAACAATTTCGTCGTTTTGTTTAGAAAAATATCGTAAAACTAGTTAAAGCAAAGGACTTTTACTAAGTTACTATGTACAGGATGTTTCACATAATTTTACGAGACCTACGCCTGTAAGATGCAATCAATAAATATTCCGATCCGAACTCGATTACAAATTTTGAAAAATTAAATAATTTTCTCTAGTTTGTTTACCCTTTCAAAAATTACAACGTTTTTAATTAGTTAGTGATTAATATAGATAAACTAGAATCGTATACATGCCGTCTCTTGACAGAACAAATGATAATTGTTTCTGAAAAACTGCAGTTTATGACATTAATGAAACAGTGATTAGTTTGACCATTACTGTCATGGGTTTCCAAAAATGAAATAATTAAATGTGTATTTTTTGTATCCAGTGTTCTGTGACTTTTGTATATTTGGGTGCGTACATTAGGCGCAAGCCTCGTAAAATTATGTGAAACACTCTGTATAAACGGAGGAAATTAATCAACTTTTGGTTTCTCTTACACGTCAGTTGTCAAATGCAAAACTAGACGAAGTCGGGATTATGGCTAGAGAGACGTCAGCAACAAAGCGGCTGCGGTATTTTGCACAACCTCAGGGGCTTTAAAAATTGAAACTATCTTGATTTTTATTAATAATTAATACATGTAGAAAAATATTATGTTCAACTTTTTTTTTTTAGTTTCACCAACAATTGGAGTACAGCCAGCTAGCGAACGTAACCCTGCAATACAAGCAAGCGACGATCTTCGCTCCCATAAACGAGGCCTTCCAAAGAATGGGAAAATTCGAGGGAAACCCCGACGACCTAGTTTTATACCACATGAGTAAGTTTACCTTTTTTTACGATTGTCGTTAAAATTAAATAAAATTTTTCCCTCACACACGCAATTTTTTATCACCTGAATCCATTTGAAAATTGCCAGCTTTTATCATCCACGTTTCGAAAATTAAAAGCTCGGTTCAGAGCATTATCAATATTGATAAAGTTGAACGGATTTTGCTAAAGACATATCTCGTTCAGTTCAACAGGGCAAATACAATTTAATCTCCATTTACATAACCAGATGTCATGCAGTCCGGACTTTGGCCTTATCTCGTCGAAAATTGCTCGTTATGGTCGCAACTCGAGCAAATAGCATTTGCATCGGTGCTCGAATTATCTCGCGATCGACAAGAATTGCCAGAGGAAGTTAATTGTGAGACCGAATTTTCGCTCTGGCACTTAAAATAATTGCTAAATGTACAGGGTGCTACATTTTGGATGTCCGAATAGGGAATCTCCGAAACTAAGATGTTTAGCCAAAAACGAGTGATGCATTCTGGAGCTCATTTTTTGAGAAAATAATATTGGTTAAAAACGCATTTCGCTATCGTCTAGTTTTCGACTAACAGACAAAAGTTGACATTTTGGCGAAATCTAAAAAAATTCATATCTTCGTTATTATAGAAGATACGGATTTGAAATAAAGACATTATACAGGCACTTTTCACGAGGAATTTAATAATATAGTTATTTATTTTTTTTAGTTATTTGTTTAGCCGTAATAAGATAAACTTATATTTTTTTAAATGGAAATCATAGGCGGCTATGGCAATTTTAAAAAGCTTATTTTTTTCTGATCTAAAAAATATATATTTGTAACAGAATATTTTTTTATAACCATACTTAAAAAGTGAAATACATATTTTGTTTGATAATAGTTGGCGATGGAAAAACTATTTCACTCCAAATGTGTAAATAATAATCAATAAGAGTTTTGTGAACTGATCTGAACTGATAGATCAAAAAATAGATAAAATAATAAAAATTTTAAAAATACGATACGGTAGAAGTATTGAACAAATATGCGAGCGCCTTAGAACAAAATTATTACATGTTTTTAAGAAATTCAAAAATAGAAAAAACAAATGTGTCAACACTCAACACAATTAGAAAAAACATTTTTTTGATGATCTAATGGAGGCAGGATAACGTTCCACATAGACGGAATTTGGATATTTGAATAGCCATATCGTCATTTTTGTGTCATATAATATATATTTTATTAAAGAATTAAAGCGGCTTTTTTTACAACACTATGTATCACTAGAAGTTACAATGGTAATGTTAGCTTGTTTAAAAACAAAGAAATGTTATTAGTCGCCAATAAGTTGATTTACGAGATATTTTGCATTTTTTTCATTACTTAGTATTTAGAAAACTCTTTCATTAGTGACACTCGTTGAATAATACAGTTTAAATCCTTTTAGTTTAAGATGCAACATTTTTTCATGGCCAACTGCTAACAAAAATCAAAGATAATTTTTTGCTAAAAATGTATTATAATAATTTGTTACAAATATATATATTTTTAGATAAGAAAAAAACAAGCTTTTTAAAAATGACAGCCATCTATGATTTCCATTTTAATGTCTTTATTTCAAATCTGTGTCTTCTATAATAACGAAGATATGAATTTTTTTAGATAGAATGTATCACTAGTTTTTAATTAAACCTCTTAGTTTCGGAAATTCCCTATTCGGACATCCAAAATGCAGCAGCCTGTACTGTTGTTATCGAATGAAAGTGGACACGAAATGACAGTGTCCATTATCACCGCACGACAACTGTGAATTTGGATTCTTGCCACAGAGGGTTAATAAATCAGTATTAGAGACAATTTGGTATTATTAAAATTTAATTAAACCGACATTGGAATTTTGAATGAATTTAAGTAGCTTTAAGATGAGGAGAAATTTTTCGGCCGGTGTATTTTCGTTGGAATGTATTTACTGTGGAACAGATGTGGTAGTCTGTTAGCTCTCATGAATATTTAGCTACAGTTTGACTTCGTCGGCCGAACGAGGAACACCGGAATAATACCGTCTAAATCATTTTCAATTCAGTTATTCAATTTTATATTTTATCCAATTACCGGGAAATGAAACCGACGAACTGACTTTATTAAATGTGCGACGGCACAGAATAAATCGCCAGATTTACTTGCGGCTTCGTATATTTAAAGATAACAGATGTGTGTTGTTTCCATTAGATTTATATTTATCAAATCTAGGAAAGTATAACATATGTTTTATTAAAAAGCTTGAATTATGTTTTTTTTGCGAGCAATATTCTGACTCGTAAAAACTATTTGTTTGGAAAGGGTTTAGAGTAGTTCAATTATTGATACTGATATTTTTTACTTAAGTTTTTCAAACATTTAAAGTAATGTTATGTTAATAGCTTTTTATAGTGTAAAAGCTTCATCAATTCAAGATATAAAACGTTTCTTAAAATGTGCTAAAAATTGGCCCGGCGCATCCTCCAAAACGCTCGTATTTTTTAAATGTTTAGATTTTTACTATTTTAATGAAATACTAAAATTGAACTACACTGGCCTCCAAAATTAACCGGACAACTAAAATTTTGCGATTTTCTACATTGCAATATTTTTGTTATTCTTTATCGGGTTTCGACGAATTTGTGTTCGGCTTAAAGAATGAACTTTGCAGAACATTGTGATTTAATTCAATAACATTTTTTTAGCTAGTTTTGTCTTATAAATGTTATACCTAAAAGATGACAGTCTTGTTTTTTTACTTTTTTTATACTGAGCTGTAGTGTGTAACAGTTTTTACTTATTTCAGATTATTGCCCGTTCTTTTCTAAATGAGGACCAATTTGTTTCAAATTTTTTTCTTCTGGTGCCCCAGAGATAGAAAGCACTGAAAAAGACGTTGCTTTTCTAATGTTACTAAATATTCTTTTAGAAAGTAGGCTTCATAAAAAGGTAGTTGAACCGAAAATTATTGCTTATGTCACCAAAAGAGCACAATTACGTCTTTGAACACAAAAATTTTTATAAATTTGAAACTTCAAGGGATTACAACAAGTAAAACAGTTAATTGTTGGAATATTCCATGCGCCTATTTTGACGTTTTGGCTTACTTAATACGAACATTCATTAAAATCGGAAAAGTAATGTAATGTAATTTGAAGGTTTATATCTTTCATGTCTCAAGAATAAAAATTATGGAAAATATGGTACATAATTCAGAAATGAATCGGCAATAATCTGAAATCAATGAAAACTTAAGTTTGTCTTTGTCGCACATCACAGCTCAGTATGAAAATAAGTAAAAAAATAGTGCCTTGGTCTTTTGAGTATCGCATTCAGAATTATGGGAAATGTGGTACATAATTCCGAAAAATAAGAAAAAAAATAGTACCTTCGTCTTTTGAGTATGACATTTAGAAGACAAAACTAGAAATAATATTGCATTACATAACAATAATCTACAAAGTTTTTTTCTGTAAAACAAAAATCGCAAAACTTTTAGTTGGCCGGTTAATTTTGACGGCCAGTATAACTTTAAGTAAAAACCATATTAAAAAACTGAGAAATAATTTTTTTGGACAAAAACTTTATTAAAAGAAACTTACCCATGCTCTTTTTAATAAATCAAATAATGAAAAGTGAAGCTAAATTTCATTTCTTAAATAAATAACAAAACTTACGTGTACATAATTTGCACATTTTTAAAAGATTGGCAGTAGTTTAAATGACCTAATAATGCCAAAATTTAAAATTTGCAATATAAACTTGTTTAGAACTTTTCGAGTTTTATTGTTTGTGGTTAAATTACATTTTGTCAAATGTTGGATTACCCAGAAATGTGGTAGCAACTTTTACACAAAGTGTCACAAGATGGTACTTTCGAAAAGCCAAATCAAGGACATCTAAAGTTGCGCTTATAATTCAGTTTCAATTTTCGATTTTTCCATATAAACTTTGTTTCTGTGACATTTCGGGCATCAGTACCTTATTGCGCTCTATCTACCGATTTCAATCGCAGTCGATTGAGACTTTTTAGGCTTTTTATTTTTAGGATAAGTGCTTAAAACATCAATTAAAACATGAATGCTATAAAATATCCAAGATCCGAGCTTATTTTAGATACATTCTGGACTAGCAAAATATTAATAAATTAGAATTGCAAAAAACATGAAATCATAACACTAGGTAGGTTAGAACAATTTATAACTTCAATATTTTTCTGCAAAGTGGTTTGTTTGTTGAGTAATCCGTAATTTTTGTAGTGTCTTTAATATTAAAATACAAAGTAAACGGTTGTCCGTATTATTGTCTGCATAAGTTTGCTTACCACAAAACGTTACAAAAGTTTCGAACCATTTTTGCCTTTGTTGCATATTGTTCGGAATTTCAAATAAGCGAACATCTTTTGCCTCAGAAATGAAACACGCTTTTTAACATTTTATACTATTATTTTATAAAATTGAAGGGTGCCGCCAATGTTTATAAATTGAACTGCTGTTAATTTAACATTGTAGCTTTGATTCGTTAATCACAATAAGGTTCTGTCTTTTTTGTTTTTATGGCCACTCTGCAGAAACAGTTATCATGGGGAATGAAACGGCCTTATAAGCGTAGCTTTTTGATTCAGATGGCTTTGGCCAAATTTGTTCAATCTTGCCACATTCACTTTTTGAATTTTTTCAAGTCATTTTTTGACATTTCGTTGTCTAAAAAAGGGATTTAACTGTAGAGCAAAGAATAAACTAGTTAAATAGTTAAATGATTTTTCATGGCAAGAGACGGTAGAACAGAAACACCCAATCGTGCAACAATTTTAAAAATTGTAACCCAATTCTAAACCATTTCAGTAATCTCTAGAGACTTGGTTTATTTAGATGGTCCAAAACCTGATATTCAAATCCTGAAAGAATATGTTAAGGAGGTTTTCCGAACAATCTTTCCCTCGATTTATGCACTAAAATTTGTAGAAATGTTACTCGAAGAGTTCAGTTGAGCATAATGGGAGTCAATTGGAACATTTTCAATAAAATTTAAATTTGAATGTTTCACGTTTGACAATACTTGACATTTATTTATCTCAGTTTAGGTAGCGGCATTGCCATGCATAAAAAAAGATCTCTGTAAAAAAGTGTCAGATTACGGGACCAATGGAAAAACTTGCGGAAAGACCACATTTCTGGGCGCTCTGTATTATTAATAAGAGGTTAGCAGTAATGTCAATATCTTGGAAATACCTAAAAACTCAGGTGAAAAAGTAAAAAGAGGACTAAAAATTTGTTAAAATGAACCCAAAATTGTATTACATTAAAACATGAAATTTTAATTATTTTGCAAACGACCTTCCAGAGTTACTTAAATTTTATAAAGGTTTAGAGCAGCTTATTTACTGTAATTGTACATTTATTTTATATTCTTATTTACAAGTAATTCAATTTGGTGTTGTTAAAAATTCAATACTAGTAACAAAAAAATTTAAAGTAACACTTTTAAGGTATTTGAACTTTTTCAACCTTGTTCGGAACCGCTCAAATTCATTGTTATTAGTTTAGCACTAAAAGTTTGTTTTAATTGAAATTTGTTTGCAAAAATACTCGTAATAACAATAACCCGGCGCATCCACCAAAACCACTCAAATTTCATTTCTGCTGTTACTAACTACCATTCCCTCGATAGCCTCAAGTGAGTGACGGTAAACTGGCCCTCAATTAACCCTTGACCCTTCGGTACCAAATTACCTCTTCGATAATTGTGCATCATCAAATTATAACCCCTCTAGTCCGCGTCCGTTGTGATTTTACTAATATTTGCTGCAATTCTCCATTTAATATAGAGGCATACTCAACAAACACGCACCAGATTGCGTTAAATGCCCCACATTTTGGTTATTAGCTTTGGGTGTCAATTTGGATAATGTGGGGGTCACGTGAAATTATTAAAACATATGTAACTTTTTCTACAAGTATTGTCTTGAATAAATTCATTGATTTTTTAATGGCCCGATATTGAGTGATTGAATTAAAGGGAATATCGTCGCACTAATGCACCTAAAGCGATCTGATCCCTTCGGGAAACAATGTATAAGATAAAAAACATTGGGATTAATGGAATGAAAGGGCGATAAAGGAAAAAACTGGAATGAGATATGAATTGTACTAAGTAAGAAATTAGTGATAGAAACCAATTTCAGAGACCGAATCTCATGAATAAAGGCAATGCCGATTTAATTATTCATTTGCATAAATTCATAGCGTTTCGGTAAGGTGCTCTTTGTTGAGGCTTCAACTAGTGGCCACTTGATCTATGAAACAATAGACCATGCCAACCCTCGTAAAGGAAGTTTTGTATTTAATCAGAAATGAAATCCGGAGTTATTAATGTTGCTTGTATTAAAAATCAAGGTAATGGAAAATTTAAACAACTAAATGTGGAACAATGCTTTTTGACAATCATCCGAAATATGGGGATTCGAAATCCCGCCTTCAATTTATTATTCCATTTCCTCGACATTACTTTATTCATATCTAAATTACTTTTACAGTATCTTACCATTCAAGCTGAAATATTTTTCAAGAATTCCATTACACTAAATTCGTTATCTGAAAATGAAGCGAAAATTTGCGAGTGCAGGTATGTGTGGTGCTTAGTTTAGTGGATTATAGCGAGGAAAAATGTAATTTCTTGACTACTAGACGATGAAAAAGCTTGGAAAATGAGGCTTTTTTTGCTTTCTGAATAATCAAAAGTTTTGAATGCATTTCTGACAAAAACTCTTTACCAAAAAAACAAGAACTAAACTGAAGTAATCACCTCATATCTCCTAATTTATCACCAATAATTAAGAAATACATCGGATTGTCATACTATAATATAAGTGAGTTAAATAGTTTGGTTTTTTAAATTGTAAAGTTGTAATTTTTTCTTTACCACTTTTTTGGTGAAATTTCATTAAATTAACTACAAAATGTCAGTATGAAGTGTCTTAAAACATTCTCGTAATCTACTTACTGTAGTCACAAAAAGGCAAGGTCATAAAACTATATTTATTTTATATCGTCTGTACTTTATTTTGAAACATATTTGTATATTTCAAGATGAAATATTTTCGCATGCCGATGGATAAATTTTTACAAATCAGATCATTGACGATTTTCCAAAGACTATTTGATTAACGACGAAAATAAGGAGCTAAAGTCATTGCTCGTGATTATTTCAAAAATTGTAAAGAAATATTGATAAAAGTTCTTATCAAAATCGTTGTTTTTTTTGTTTTCCATTGAGAAAATAGGGTCATTCCATTAAAAGAACTGTTATAATCGTTTTTTGATCATCATTCTCTGAAAATCATACTAGCCTGGAAATTTTACAGTTGGCAATTTTAGAAGATTTTCAAAACAAATTAACAATTAACAAAATTTGCATAATTTTAAAAAAAACTTT